AGCCCAGGGAGGGCCGCGGAGCCCAGGGAGGGTCCCGGAGCCCAGGGAGGGCCGCGGAGCCCAGGGAGGGTCCCGGAGCCCAGGGAGGGCCGCGGCCAGGGCCAGGGCAGTGCGGCCCAGGGGAAGGACCCGCTTTGGCCCGAGGGCTACACGGGCGCGGGTAGCCAGCCCTGTTGAAGCGCCCGGGACGCCGGGGATCCCGGTTTGTTGGGTGACGGCTCAGCTAGAAGGGGGCCGACCGGAATTCGAACCCCCGCCCCGCCGCTCCCCGCCCCTGCCCCGAGCCCCCAGGCCTGGCTCTCAACGGTAACTGGCTTCCTCAGCCTCAGTTTATCTTTTTTCCCCTCAGGGATTCTTCTGTCCATGGCTGCCACCAAAACTTCGAGTTATGATCAACATTTCAGGCCAGAAAAATTAAGAGAATGGCCAGAGCCTGAGTCCGTTTCTTTAATGGAGGTGAAATAACATGGCGTTTTGAGACGTCGTTTTGGCGGTGGGACGCCTCGAGTTTGGGAATTGTTTATCTTAATCATGTTTCTGTTCTCAGGACTGGGACAGTGCCTGGAGTTGAAGGGAAAAGTTCCGGGCTCAGATTTGGCCTAGAGTGTGGCCAAGAGTGTTCCCAGTCGCCAGCCTAGGGGCCGGCGCATCAACTGGGCGGGCGGGTGGTTGAAGGCAGCAGCCCTAGCTCCCCTGCAGGAGAAGCCACGTCTGGGCTTGCCAGTCGATTCCGCATACTTTGGGGTCTGGTAATGATTTTCTCATAAAGTTTCATTATTTTGTATCATTCTGTGATTTACCTCACTGTGAAAAACTCTTGGAAGTATCCTTTATTTTTCCGCTTTTGCCCTAGTGGCGGTCAGAGTAGTGAGACGCTTAATTTTTGTGTGTGCACAGGAGGCCGTGGATTTCGGAAGTGCCGCCGCAAATCATGACCTTTTCCTTATATTTTCTGGCAAAATCACAAGAGCCATCAAAGACAAAAACCGTTTAATTTCTTTAAGGAAAAAAGGATTATTTGAGAATCCAACTTGAGAGTGTACATAACATTTGCTAACAGTCTTACTAGGATGTTCTTTAAAAAGGCGACTTCCCTTGGGAGGCCGTGGGTGGATCACCTGAGGTCAGGAGTTCAAGACCAGCCTGGCCATCATGGTGAAACCCCATCTTTATTTAAAAAAAAAAAAAAAAAAAAAAAAAAGTGACTTCCCAAGATACTTGTCAACATGTTTCTACTTCTCCAAATAAACTGATCGATTCTAATATTGTAGTGTCAGGGTACATGTTTAATTGTTTTACATACTTTTTTAGTTGCCATCTTTTTAATTAAAATTATTTTAGAGATAGGTTCTTGCTGATTGCCCAGGCTGGAGTGCAGTGACCCAATCATAGCTCACTGTAACCTCAAACTCCTGGGCTCAAGTAATCCTCCTGCCTTGACCCTCAAAGCACTTAAGATTACAGGCATGAGCCACCCTGCCTGGCCTGTCATCTTAAAATAAGTCTGAGAAGACTTTAAAGCAAGATCCTGTTTATATTACAAAGAGAGCTTTATTTTAGAGAAGACCTGGGTAGCTGTTGGAATGTTATTTTTAGATCTCATGTGAAGCTATTAAATATATGGGTAAAAAGAACAACTTTTCCTTTTTGAGATTTCTCTTATTAACAGATTTGGTATTTGAGTTTGGGGTTTAGTTTGTTTTGATGCATTCAGTGTGACAGAACAGAAAGAACAATCAGAGATTGAATAACACAGTTCTAAGAACCTGTATCATTTTTCATCAGCGATCATTTTTGTAATAGTAATATCTCTTCCAGATACTGGATTTTATTGCCTTTTCATTTGTTTGTACTTAGTCCTATAAGAATAAAAACTAGAGATCAGTTCATAATGATCCAATTGAAAAAGGCCTAAAGTAGGGATTAAAATGCATCAGCTTTACCCACACTCATAATGGAAACTGCAGGTCCCTAGATGTGGACGGTATTGGTTGGGGGCCATGAGCTCCACTAATTAGCTCTGAGACTCTGGACCTGTTGAACTAAATCAAACTTTCTGTGGCTTTTGACTTATGAAGAGATCTAGCAAAAGGCAGGAGACTTCAAGGGCCCTTCAAAACACACCTACTGGCTGGGTACAGTGGCTCATGCCTATAATCTCAACACTTTGGAGGCCAAGGTGGGTGGATCACTTGAGGTCAGGAGTTCGACAGCAGCTTGGCCAACATGATGAAACCCTGTCTCTACTAAAAATATAAAAATTAGCCAGGTGTGGTGTCACATGCCTGTAATCCCAGCTACTCGGGAGGCTGGAGAATCACTTGAACCCTGGGGGTGGGGAGATTCCAGTGAGTTGAGATCTTACCACTGCCCTCCAGCCTGGGTGACAGAGCCAGACTTTGCCTCAAGAAACAAACAAAAAACACCTACTGAATGCCTGAAAAGAGGATTCACTTTATAGAGGATCCTTTTAATAAGCTGCTTAGTGCTTTAAAACATAATTTAATGATATACTATCAGGTGTTTGTTTTAAAATAGTCTGGGGGGGTGCTGAAAATGAGTAGGGATTTATTGAATGAAACATGATTGACTCTGAGTTAAGCACTCTTGAGCCTGGTTGATGGGTTCATGGAGAATGGGTTTAGAAATTTTCAGTATTTTTATGTTACAGAATAAGCCTCAAGATTTATACCAAAACTATTGGGTAAAGTACACTGAGTTTTGTCATTATAGTTTGTTTCTTCAGGATTTACATCCTAATGTTCAATTCTGTAATTTTAGGTATGAGCTAGAGAAGACATTGATGAAGCAGTACATGCAATATTATTTAGAGAAAATTCTGTTGTGAAGGTAAGAGTTGGCTCCACACTGCATTCTAAGAGTGTTCTAGGGGAGCAAGAGTGTGCAGAACAGCATGGCCAAGAGTTTATGTTACTGTGATCCAAGAGATTCATTTTGCAGGGAGAATGAGGATCCTCAAATTGTTTGTACTACATGGATCCGAGGTTGTTCCCCCTTCTTGCAGGATCACTAAGAGGTCCCTAATCCCACTGGGACCTGTCCTGAAGGGATCTGAGAAATTGTTCTGATTGTGCCTTCTCTTTGTCCTGGGACCGAATAGAAATTCCTTCCTACCCACACTTGCTTCTTTATGTTCCCACATTGCAGTGGGCATATATAAAACCACTAGAAACAAAATAAGCTTTTAAGGGTTATGACCAATCAATAACTAATAATCACTGTGAAATTAGCTTAAGGGGTATTTAATTTCAATGAGAGAGACAGAGTTATAATAATACTTTGGGAGGCTGAAGCAAGAGCATTGCTTGAAACCAGGAGTTTGAGAGTTTAAGACCAGCGTGGGCAACATAGTGAGGCCCTGTCACTACAGAAAATTAAAAAAGCCAGGCATGGTGGCACACACCTGTAGTCCCAGCTACTCAGGAGGCTGAGGCAAGAGGATGGCTTGAGCCCAGGAGGTTGAGGCTGTAGTGAACTGTGATCATACACTATACTCCAGCCTGGGTGACAGAGTGAGACCCTGTCTTTTAAACAAAAAAAGAAGAAAACTTTGACATTTGAATTGTAATTTACAATTTATAAAGAAAGTGCACATAAATTCCCATTTAAGCATCCAGAGAGGTAGGTACGATTATCTGTCTTTTACAGGCCAGAGAGAGGTATAAAAGAATTTTCTAGTGCTCTTTCTACTCTACCAATTTTGTCACAGACTTTCCTGATGGTGAAGGCTAGACACACAATGGGTGACCAGGGAATTCTTGGAAATCCTGAAAAAGAAACAAGAGTTTAATGAGTTAGCAGTAGCTTAATCTGATTCATGAGTTGGATGCAGTTTAATCTGAAGGCACAGTGTGGTTTAGAACTTTATATGAGTTCTTTTGCTCTGTGTTCTCAGCTTCTCTTCCTGCACTTGATTCTGTGGTTCAGTTATTTTCTACTGGGACTTTGCAATCTGAATGTGGCTGGGAGCTTAGTAGTGGGATCAAGTGGTTTTTTCCCCCTTACTCAAATGACGACAAGTCAAACAATTTTTTATAATTTATTTTCCTTGTTTGTATCACTTCACTAGAGATTGGATACATATTTTCAGAATCTGGATACTTCTAGGGAAAGAAGAAAAGAGATGTTACATAAAAAATGGGTTGAAAACGTTGCAGAGCCTCTTCAGCAGAGAACTATGGAAAAAGTAATTTCATATAAAGGGCTGGAGAAAATGAAACAAGAGAATGTTGAATATTATTTGCAGCACAGTCATAAAATGGTACTGAGTTTTATTTTTTTTTTTCCAAATTATACTTTATTTGAAGAGTTGGTCCAACAGTTTCACTGGTTATACAAGTAATCTGCAGCTTATTTTTGTATTTAAGATAGATTAATTGAATTGTAATACACGTAAACAGCATTCTTAAGCCTGAGGTTGGAGGGGATAGGATTGTTGATTTGGAACTAGATTTATCAGGAATTATGTAGACATTAATGGAGTTACTTACTGTAGCTTAAACCATAAAGGCATTTATAATTTACTTCACAAGAAATTGAGAGGTGGTGGTTTCATGGTGGGTTCTGACAGTATAACAATGTAAGGTTTTTTTCTGTTCTATTCTGCTATCCTTAGTATTTTCAGTTTATCCTCATTATTCTCACATTTGCCTGATGGTTGCTTACAGCTCCAGACATTGGGTCTTCATTCAAGGCAGGAAGAAGGGGTAAGGAATGGTACCAGGGGCTTCTTCTCTTACCCTGCTCCTTTGCAGGAAGCAAAAGGAGTCCCCAGAGGCCCCTAGCCAACTTTCCCTTAGGTCTTGTTGGCCAGGACTGAGTCATGAGGCAAGTCCTAGCCATAAGCAGGCCCTGCAAAGCCACCGTGGCATTCTCATCTCTCTAGTAGGAAGTGGGCAAAGGAGAATGGTATTGTGTGACTAGGTTAGCCAACCAGTAGGTATTAGGACTAACAGTTTCTATACTTTGTTCTACAGTTTGGCTTTACAAAACAAATTTGGTTTTTTAATTTGAAGATTCTTTTGATTTTGAGGTCAGGACTCTCTTTCAGAATTTAGGTCTGTCTATTTGCAGTACCAAATATAAATCTGTTGGCTTTAGGTGTGTACTACTGGATCTTTTTTCTTTCCCCCACATACTTAGTAGATATCTAGAGTAGTGGCTGAATGCAGTGGGTCACCCCTGTAATCTCAGCACTTTGGGGAAGCTGAGGTGCATGGATTGCTTGAGTCCAGGAGTTCGAGACCAGCGTGAGCAACATGGCAAAACCCCTTCTGTACAAAAAAAAGCTGGGTGTGGTATTGTGCACTTGCAGTCCCAGCTACTTGGGAAGTTGAGGTGGGATGATCACTCGAGCCTGGGAGGCAAAGGTTGCAGTGAGCCGTGATAGCATCACTGCACTCCAGCCTGGGCGATAGAGTGAGACCCTAGAGTAGTTTAACTGGAATATTAGAACATTTAAGTATATTTATTGAGCACAATTTCTGAATATTTACCTTAAACCCTTTTTCCTACACACTCGAAGGGGCAGAGCTCAAGACTGAATTCAGATCTCTAAAGTGCAAAGTCTTATATTTGTGTCCAGAAATGTGATTGTACAAGTATAGGAGGGGAGGATCTTAGAAATGGCATGTGTTGAAGTCCAAGTGATGTTAATGTCAGTAAAGTCATTGTGAATCAACCATATGAGCTGGGTTTCAAGAAAACATACAGCTCTCAGGCTGTATTAAGAGAGGCTGTGCTTAGAGTGGGAAGCATCAGAGTCTTGGTCCATCCTGTCCTTATCCTGTCATTCCTGATGTTGCACTGTTGAAGGGACACTCATCAGTTGCAGAACCTTTAGAAAAGAATTGAGTCTTGACACCACTTTATAGGAAAGAAGTGGGGTATTTGGCGCAAGGAAAAGATGATACGAGGGGAAATGAAACTTCTAAGTATTTTAAAGGCAGACATTAGCTGTTGGATTAGATGTACAGAACTAGTATCTGCAACTGCAGTTACAAGGCAGATTTCAGCTTAGCTTAAGGACAGACTTTCTTGAGGTTAAAATTACCAAAAAAAAAGTACCTGCCTCACGGAGCAGAAAATTCTCAAAGGCCCATGGATGGCTTCAGACTAAAGCTAGATGATGACTTCTCCCAGAAGGTGGTAGAGTCTCATCGCAATCTAAATTACTTCTGCAGTTTCTTCCAACCCTTTGAAGCTATGCTTTTAAATAAAAATGAAATACAGTATTTGGCTTTTATAATATGAATCTTGCAAAACAGTTTGTACATAATGATTTTCCCTGAAGTATATATCTGAAGGAAATTATATGTGAAGACCATTATGATCCTGAAGTATACAATCCCTTTTTTTTTTAATTAAAAAAAATTTTTCTTGACACAGAGTTTCACTCTTGTTGCCCAGGCTGGAGTGCAATAGTGCGATCTTGGCTCATTGCAACTTTCACCTCCCGGTTCAAGAAGTTCTGCCTCAGCCTCTCAAGTAGCTGGGATTATAGGCATATGCCACCATGCCTGGCTAATTTTTTTTTAGCAGAGACATGTTAGTCAGGATGGTCTTGTGCTCCTGACTTGGCCTCCCAAACTGCTGGGATCCCAGGTGTGAGCCACGGCGCCCAGCCTACATTCCCTTTTATATGAAGAAAAAGAAACCAAATTAAGGAAAGGTAGTGCAGGTTTCTTGGGTTTTTTATTCTTAGGAGCTATGGAGTGGGGGAAAACCTAGTCATTTTAGAATTTTTGTAGTTATTCTCTATTCATTAAAAAAAAAGTACAAAAGCATTTCCTTTGAGTTTTAGAATAGGATCTCAAAGTAATTTAGACTCCTGTAGAATTTAAACTGTGCACGAGGCATGCATACACATGATCATTTGTTCATTGGTGCATTCATTTACCTCACATTCAGCAAATTTGAAGCACAAGGAGAGAGATGTGGACAGCTTGTGCAGTGGAGTGTGGCGAGTGTGTCATAGAAGTCAGCGCAGGGATTATGGGACTTGGGAGGGAACACTCCTTTCTACCAGAGATATAGGAGGGATGTCAGCAAAGCCTGCCCAGGAGAGCTAATACTTGAGTTTGTAATGAGTCTTCAGATTTTTAAACTGCCAATATAGGAGTTAAAATTGAGAAACGGAGGTTTCAGTTTTTTGCTTCTATGCGGTACAAGTAGCCACCTAATATGACTATTAATTTTTAAAAAAATATGTATGGCTCTGAAGATGGAAGTAGTTTCTTTTGCTTCTCCCAGAAAAACAAGCCAGGGCAGCCATATGAAGACTAACGTTCTTTTGGTTCTGGGTAGAATTTCATCATCTAGGTGCTGGAGGCAGTAGATGTTATGCTGTCTGGTTTATTCAGTAATTGTTTACCTAGCACTTCAGGTCCAGCACTGGGATGAGTGCTGTGGGGGAAATGAAGGGGAAAAATCATCCTTCTAAGGCTTATGATCAGGAACAGGGAGAAAAAATACCTCTGTATGTCCCTACCCCTTGACATAAACCCACAGCTCTGGTCACCCTCCGTTCTCGCAGGCCCTTATAGACCAGCTGTCGGTTTCCTCAGGAGGCATGGGTCCTCCCAGGCTGGGTTAGGTCAGATTTTATTTATTTAAATTTCAACTTTTAGATTCACGGGTACACATATAGGTTTTTTACATGGGTATATTGTGTGCTGCTGAGGTTTGGGGTGCGATTGAACCTGTTACCCTGGTAGTAAGCATAGTCCCCAGTGGGCAGTTTTTCAACCCTTGCCCCCTCCTGCCCTTCTGGCTCTTGTAGTCCTCAGGGTCTAGTGTTCTTATCTTTATGTAGGACACATTTCAAAAGCTTCATGCAGACTGCACTCTGGTCCTCAAAGAGTCTCATTTTTCTTGTAGGTTACAGTCCCACCATTTTTTGATCCTGTGTTTCAAAGACAGCAAGACATGGATGAAGAGAAGAGAACTGGTCTATGGTGTGAGACAGGTGCATTGTCACCACCGGACCTCATCTTTTTGAGACCGCTAATTGTCAAGTGATTTCTCACTCCAAGAGCAACGAGAGTTCTTTAAGAGTGTTGATTTTGATTTTTTATCTTCCTGTAGGGAAAGACCATTCCATAAAAGAACTTAAAGAAATAGAGAAGTCCAGGCCACCTGCCAGCCCGCTCCGCTTCACTTTCGCTTTACACAGTGTAATTCTGAAGGAGCGGCAGAAAGCCTCTGCAAGAGTCAGGAGTAAAACTTGCGGTAAATGCAGGTACAGATGAGCAGAACAAACAAATATTTGTTTAACTTGCAACTTACTTTATTTCCTACTGAAGGTCTTGTAACTAGTCACACTTTTGTCTTTTAGTAGTTTATAGTTTTACTGTTACTACTGTGATGATTACTATCATCACCTTTATATTATAAAATATATGTAGAGGACAGAATGAAACATAAACAGCTTAACAAGTCCCCGGGTCAGTTCTGTGGAATCACCAGCCATGTCAAGAAAGGGCACCTGTCCCCTCCTAAGACAGGCTCTTCCCTGCCCCAGAGCTCTCTTCACTTTGTAAGTGTTCACCTCCTTGCCCTCCCTATGGTGTTATCAGCTAACATTGTATCCTTAAATAATCTAGTTTATCTTGACTATTTTTGAATTTCATATAAACAGAACCTGGAAGCATTTATTTTTTATGACTGAATCCTTTAAAAACATCTTTATTAAGATATAGTTTACAGGTGGGGGATGAGGGGACAGTGGCTCACACCTTTAGCACTTTGGAAGGCCAAGGCGGGTGGATCACCTGAGATCAGGAGTACGAGACCAGCCTGGCCCACGTGATAAAACCCTGTCTCTACTAAAAATACAAAAATTAGCTGGGCGTTGTGGCAGATGCCTGCTCTAGCTACTCAGGAGACTGAGGCAGGAGAATCACTTGAACTCGAGAGGTGGAGGTTGCAGTGAGTCAAGATTGCACCACTGCATTCCAACCTGGGCGACAGAGTGAGACTCCATAAAAACAACAAAACAAAACAAAGATAGATATAGCTTATATACCATAAAATTCGTCTGTTGGAGATTTGTACACATACAGTTCATTGTGTGACTGACTTCTTTTGCTCACCATTATGCTTTTCAGTTTCCTTCCTGTTGCTGCATATGGCTCCATGTATTAACTTCTGTTTTCTATAGTATTCCATTGTATTTGACTATGCCATCATTTAAGCAATCCACTATTAGTGGATTTGGGCTGTTTCCACATTTTGGCTATTATGAACAATCCAGTTTGGTATTTTGGTTCCCATAATCCACATGTCTTAGGATATATACCCAAGAGTAGAATGTGCTGAGTCGTGGGATAACATTAAACTGTTTTGCAAAGAGGCTGTTTCACTTTACACCCCCGTCAGCATGGAGGAGAAATACTGTTGCTTCTCATTCTCCTTCACCCTTGGTGTATAATATTATCATTTGAATAAAGTTGACTGCTATATAATAGCATTTTCCATATTATCGGTGAAACTGAGTACTTTTCTTTTTTTTTTTTTTTTTTTT